GATGCAGTATGGATTTGGCCATCCAGCTCCCTCCCTGAAGAATTAAGGTGAAGAGCATTTTTTCATTAACCTTGGCTTTCCTTAGCTATTTATTTTTTATACGTGTTAGTATGCATGTACTTAGCTGCAAATTATTTTTTACTGCTTAAACAAAACCCCTTTCCCACTGATCAAAATCAATGAGCAATTCATTATGTATCTGTCTGTAGGAAATGTGAACCATCTAATATTTCCAGTGATTGAGATGTTTTCCCAAATTGTTCAAATTAATATATATATACAAATAATGGCAATAATGTAGCAGGCAGAAATTGAAAAAAATATACATCTCTAAAGGGGAATTGGTGACTTTGATTTCTTTTCATTTATTGCTTTCGCTGCCACACCTGGTGCCTGTTTAGTAAATTCCCACATTGCACCCGATAGTTGATTTGATGCATGAATCAGTATTCCCTATATGTTCCTTGTCATGTTCCTTATTCACATGCTGAATTAAGCTTTTTTATTAACCCTTTTCTTTGTGGTAAGGCTTATGATTTGAACATATTACCAATGGCTTGCTTCCCAGCAGAAATTAATTGCCTGACTCTTTTTTTGTGTACTTTGCTCATTGTGCTTGGACGTTTTAAGCAGTGACCTAGAGCATGCATTTGGTAACTTAATTCATGTCATGGGGGGAGCTGAAAGGCCTAATGTTTTGAAATATGTTTATTTTTGCAATGTAAGGCTGAGCTTCAGGCAAACACTGAAAATAATTATGGTTGCTGTTTTACCTGGCAGTTAATGCTATTTAGCAAGTCTTCTGATTTACACCACTTCAACACTGTACAGATACTTATTTTCTGATTTCACAATTCAGCTTTCTATGTTGCCTCCATACTTCAGACCTCTTTGTTGGACAATGAATCATAATTTTGCTGCTGATTTATGCCCCCTTCACATGGGCGGTCTCAGGGCCATCTTTACCGTGGGGCAAAAGGGGCAGCTGACCTTGGCCCCATCATTTACAGGGGGCCCACAGCAGATAATCCTTTTTGCCCAAGCGGCAGACAGCACAAATGCAGCGGCACCGCCAGTATGGAGACCAGCCACTTCTCCTCTAGTATCGTTTCCCAGCTTGTCACTTCAGAGGCTGGGAACCGTCAGTGTCTGTGTGAGCTGCCTGCGTGCCTTCTGCTGCTTTGATCTCCTCCCGCGATGTCTGTCACATAGACACAGACTTCGGGGGAGATCCACAGAGGAAGAGAAGGAGGGGGAGGGCACAGCAGATCAGGTAGAAGCAAAAACATTATTTAATAAATGATTGATTAATGCTCATTTATTCTTGGACTAATAGAGTATCAAAAACAAAGCAAGTTTTATTAAAACAGTTTAAAAAAAGGTTCATGTCATAATTAATGCCATGCATTTACATACATTCCTTGCAGCAACTGGGTAAGTGACATGCTGTGCTAATGCAATACACATTTTACTAATATAACCATGTACTGGTACAATTGTTCTGTACTATTTGATAAATCATACAATACGATTTAAATTACAAGTCTTATTGTATGATCTATCAAGTAGTACAGAACAAATGTACCAGTACATGCTTATATAGGTAAAATCTGTATTGCATTTATATTCTATGCCCCCGAACCCTTGCTGCATGGTGCATTGCATTTTCAACATATGCATTCTACATATAATATAGACCTATGGGTCAAAAATTTGTATTGTCGAGTCTATAATGTTGCAGAGTCCTGAGTTTTAGTGCGTTGAAGAAAAAAGAAATATAAATAAATATATATTTATCGTTTTTAGTTTCTTTTGAGAGAAAGGTGATTTTAGTAGATGGTAGTAGAAAGTAGATGGATACGGGGGTGTGAGTCAGGAAGTGGGGGGTGAAGGCGGGAGGATTGTTGGGGCCCATCAGCAAAATCTTGCCCAGGGCCCAATTAATATTAAAGATGGCCCTGGGCGGTCTCTGTTCCGATCATCAGACTTGAACAGATCCCTTCTGATGAAAGCAGTACAGGATGGATGTCACTCCTGTGACATCCATGTCCGTTCAGTTTTTTCCTCCATCTTGCAATGGGGGAAAAACCTGAACTAACCAGACCCATGTTAGGTCTGTGAGGAATTTCTCTGGTCCGTCCCGTTCAGGTCCGCCAAAACTGAACAGTGTTTTTTTTTGTTTTTTGTAGATGGACTCGGAGGTAATCGGATGTAAATGGACATAAGTCCATTTACATCTGATTTCACATAAACTAGCATTGATCTTCAAATCAGGTCCTCCTGAAAAACTGACGAATGGACTTGATCAGAACACTATGTATAAGAGGCCGTAGGAAGAAGATGCAACGGGAAGCAGTAATGCTAAACCAGTAAATAGCAGAGTGATCTTTATGGTTGTGAATTATGGCAGTCAAGTGTGAAATACAAAACTAGCTGGACAGAATTGCAAATCCTTTGTTAAATAAAACAGAATATATGTATTTTAACTGTCATTAGCTGTTTGTGTATATAGCACCTAAACTATATAAATACAAAGTCAAATAAATATCTGTTTGTTGCTTTATTTACAAAAAAACTATAATTATGTATAGCAAATAGCAAATCACTCTCCTACTTTCTTATCAGCTTTACTGCTTCCTGAGTAAAGATGAACCTGGGCTCACTGTGAACCCGGTCCGCCTGAGTTTGCCCAAGCCTGCTCAAACCATTGCCACTTTCTGTTCCCAGCCCAATCAGTGGCAGTAGTTGTGGTTGGAGCATTCCCTGTGTCAGTCACAGTTTTGAGCGGGCTTGGGGGAACTCAGAAAAAACTGGGTTTGCAGCAAGTCTAGGCTCATTGCCATTCCTGAGTTACCCTTCAGATGATTGGACAGTGGTAGTAATGCTAACTAATTTAATAATCTGTGAGCAGACTGGGGGTGGAAAAGTGACATAAGATTCTGAAGAGCTGACTTGGGGCAGGATCACATGTTTTTGGCCCAATAGACCTCAATCAGAAAACGTGCTTAACACGCATTGTCAGTCCTGACAACCAGCCTCCTCCTCCTAATAACCTGCTTTCCATTGGCCTAAACACCTGAAAATGCATCAAAAAACATGTGTACAAAAACAGGTAAAAAACACTTCAAAAGGTAATTGATGAAATTGCCTTACGAAATATTGGTGTGTAGATCGGTCAGTGGGGTTTGAAACACTAGCATGGCTAGACAATTGTATAAATCTTGTAAAACAGTAAATACATTTATATTTATAACTATGTATTTGGTGGCTTGACTGGAGTTCTGCTTTAAGAAGGTCCACTGTGCTGATAGGACTAATCGTCAAAGTTAGTCTGTATCAGATGACTTGTTAAAAATGATGCTGCCCTTGTTTCTTCAGGGCCCAGTTTAACATGAATATAGCAAAACAAGCTGCACCTTCTTTAACAAATGTTACTTCCCCTTTTCTTCCTTTCTGGTTGAGATTTTTTTATACCTTAATTACGACAGTACGGGGACATCAGAGGAAGTCAGGGACATCACAGCTTTAGTGATGTACCTATTCGACGCTAAACAGGGAACATTTGTTTTTCCTCCCACTGCAGGAATATAATCAACACATGTCAAACATACATTCATATAAAAGGATGCAGAGAATCCCATAATGGAAACATAATATATGCTTCTGTCAATCTGTATTAATTCTGCATTATAAAAGGCCCCCACGGATTACCCTGCTAATATGGAGAATGTCTCCTATGGATACATTACACTATATACATCTACTTGTACATGACATCCAAAATTGGTTAAAGCATTGCTAAATGAAAACAAGAATATGAGGCAGAGGCGTTTAATTAGTGTATTTTAATACATGTTTAACTTTCAGAATTTGTAATAAAAATACTTTTCCAGAAGGCATATGTTTCCACGCTACTGACAGATCATTAAAGGCCAAGACATTATTTTAGTTTTGGAAAGAGTAGGGAAATACTATAACCCTTGTCTGGTATTTGTTGCTTTCTAGATCTCCTCTGAGGAGATTCGCCCTCTCCATTTGTTCTGGTGACCACTGTAATAAGACTGGATTCCCAAGTTTTGAGTTACATAGAGTCGACATTTTCCAGTGGGGACACGGGTGACAGCTGTCAAAAAGGATTTTCCCTCACTTTGGGGCAATGTGCTCCCACTTCCTGTTGTGTCTACAGGACAAGAAGTTAAGACAAAAAATTACAGTGGGACATAGATGGCAAACAAATGTGAGAGGGTTTTTTAATCCATTCCCTAATCTATCAAAAACAAAAAAGAAGATAAAACATTGGCTTTATGTATATTTTAAAGGGTCACTTCACAAAAAAAATGATATTTTGTTCATGGGTAGATGCTAATGTACTCAAACTGGAGTCAACTGTGCCCCTATACCCAATACAAAATGGTTATGTTTTCTGCTGCTCTCCCTCTATTGCATATAAAAAGTTTAGCAGGGAAAGGGAGACCACTTGTATTGGCATGTTGGCAGCCCAGTCACCGAGATCTCATGGCAGAATAAGAGACATAAGCTGTGAGTAATTCAACCTGCCAACATCTGCCTGAAGAATGAAATATCCATTGTATGTACAAAGACCTAATAACTCACTGCTAGACCATAAGATGGTTAATAGATAATAGTAATAAAACATAGCATCCATTAGCGCACACACAGCAAAAAAATTATTTGCCATTGCCTTATTTTTTGTATACTCTCTTATTAATCCACTCTAAAAACCATGTCACACATACTTACCCTACAAACCAGAATATATATCCTTAAAATATTTATCAGCAAGCTTAGCCCAAAGCATTTTTACTTTTAAAAAGTCTGCATTACGATAACAGGCTTATGTACTACAAAACGGAGCATGGAAAATAAAGTGATGACAGTTTCTGTTGACAGATGCATCATGAGTGCATGTAGGTGTGTGTTCAATAACCCAGATTGTTTGTATACACAGTGTCCAATGTTTGATTGATATGTCTCTCCAGACACAGGCGATGTGATAGAGATGCAAGGCTTTGGTTCTAATCTTATACCCTGGCAACATAATGAGCCTTGCAGTCAAGGATCATCTTGTCTATCCTGCTCCACAGGAAGCTCTCCCTATGATATCCCCAGCTGCTGCAGCTGCACCCGTGACAGGTGAGTCCCAGTCTATGTATCAGTGACTTATATTATTAGCAACCGCTAAATGTATTTTTAGGAACTGAAAGACCTTGCTTAAATCAAGGAGTTTAAAGCAATTGTGTGCTTTGCCCATGCAGGCTAAAGCAGCAGGTTTAGGGTAATGTCCCCTCCCCAGCAGTACTCAACTTAATTTCCTTTTCCTTCTGTGTTCTGTTCTACTAACTGCTAGAACTGAAGAAAATACTGTATGGAGGAACATGTAACAGCATTAGTGCATGGTGATTGCCATAGCAATCATTAGCAATGCGAAAGCTTTGAACACAGTATTCCTGTTTCTAGGGACAGTTCGGTATAAAAGGCATTTTCTTACCCTTGAATGTAGTATAACAACTGGAGGAAAGGAAAAGGCTTGTCTTGTCGCTTAATCCTTTCCCACCCACAATCTCTATATTAACATTCCTTAGAACATGCCCCTGGTTTAGAACAAATTCATAAACACCTCACTTAGAGACCTAGCAGCTGAAATTTGCATAGCTGCTAACTCTCAAAGCTTGCTGTTGCTGACAGCTCAGGTCCCTACTAATGAACAGGGTGATCACTGTGTGAGACATAGCATAATAATTACATGCAGGCTAGAGGATCATTTGAGAAAATAAGCCTTCAGCCTGCAGATGTCACCTCAGCCTGAAGGTAGCTTAATACCGTAATTTTCAGATACAATTCCAGTATTAAAAAAAATTATATACATTTTTGTGTATTTGCCTATAATAAAAGAAATACAGAGCAGGGTTTTTATTAAAAGGGTATACTAAATAGAAGTCTTATATATCCTTAAGATAATGCAAAGAAGTGATTGAGCTATTGTCAAGTTAACTGTGTCAGCACAGTGGCATAGTAGTTAGCGCATCTGCCTTGCAGAATCCCGGCCAGGTCACTGTGCTTGCGTGGGTTTCCTCTGGTTACTCCGGTTTCCTCCCACACTCCAAAGACATGCTCGTAGGTTAATTGACTCCTGTCTAAATTGGCCCTCGTATGCATGTGAGATAGGGACCTTAGATTGTAAGCTCCTTGAGGACAGGGACTGTAAATTGCCGGCGCTATATAAATACCTGTAATAAATAACCTGGCTCATGTTGATGCTGCATAATTTGTCTAGGCATCAGTGACCTCTGGTCAAAGGGACAAACCAAATAGATTGCAGGTGACATTTTTTTTAGTGCAGGTGAAAAGAATGAAAGTAGGCATCTGGTGAAAAGAATGAAAGTAGGCATCTGTCCTCTGTGGACAAGATCTTTCCCTCTATGTATTCAAACATCACCCCAATGTTGGTACTGCAGCTCCATATCATACAAAAAAATTGTATTTTTCAAAGATTATTGTATCTGAAAAATGTGCCACCAAAATGAATATTTCAATAGAAAATACAAATATTGTGTTGCATTTCTTGTACATTTGACAGTAAGATATTTGTGTATCTACAGGACATCACTCAAACTATTATGTGAAAATATGAAGAAGCAGATTGTTTCTCGGGCATTCTATGGCTGTAAGTACAGATACAGCTTCTCTAACATTACCAATTTACCAATTTGCACTGCATGAATGGGAAATGTATGAGTTTTTGTAGCTGTGAAATAACTACTGATCCTGTAGTCTTATTTAGTATGTGTCATTTACACACATGTTCTTTAAAAAACTGTTGTCTCATTTCTGATCAGGGCTTGCCTATTGTCGTCACCTGTCTACAGTTCGAACTCATCTCTCTGCCCTTGTCCATCACTCCATTATTCCACCTGACAAACCAACTGATGCTTCGGACGGCCTTACAAAAGAAGTGTGGAGCAAGTATCAAAAGGATATGAAGGTAAAGAGGATATTATCAATTTCCCAGTTGGCCCTTCACTCTAAGGGGGAAAGTTCCAGTAGCAGATGTTAGGCTTGGTTTTTTTAAAGGTGGATCACTATTCTACAGCACTGTGGCTTGTTCCCCGAATTAAAGTGGTCCCATAGTACCCAGGTTACAGTATTGCAATGTTAAAGTACAACTAAAAGTAGAAAATCCAGTTACTATGTGACACACAAGCTTTTTAAGGTAAGCACAAAACTTCTTTCACCTTCCACGATTGAACCAAATCCTCCTTCATTTGGGTCTCTCCCTCTCAGACACTGCAGCTCACACTGGGAGGGTTTTTAGCTACAGAGGCAGTGGGCAGGACTGTGCATGGCCATGTGCTGATTGACAAGCTGCAGGATTGTAAATCAGCAGCGACAATGCTGGAAGCCACACCCCTGAAACAATTGTTCATCCCACTTTAGTGCAAGAGGCACAGCCTACATGAAAGTGGAAACTCTGCTCTGAATTCAGGAGCAGTGCAGCATCGTTGCCACACCGTAACAGGAAGCTGCATTAGGTGAATGTCTCTGAAAGGCTCAACCCATATTTGTGGGACTTTGCAGGGGGACTCAAACAAAACTGCAAGAGCAGATGTACTTCTAATTAAGTTTTGCAGCACATTTTTATTATGGGAGGCCATAGTTCTATAAGAAGCAGGAACTGAGATGCAGTCAGGCTACTGATCTTTTCTTGTCAAGTAGTGTAAGGAATAGTTTTTAGTGCCCGTATCATTTTTTGGTCCTCCCTTCCTCAGCACAGTCATAGCCGAGTATACTTACCTACAACCCTGATCTTCTAAAATCTTCTCTGTGTGGCTGCCAGGCACCGTACAGCATACAGTTTGAAGCTCTTAGGCACTTGTGAGCCCCAGGTAATTTCCCAGTTCTGCCCCTTCTGCAATAAAATGACAACCCTGACAAATGTACACACACAATGGAGAACATGGTTGGTGTTAAGCAAGCCTTCCATGTGAATAACACAGGGCCCACTGTTGCTGCCCTCCAACATAAATGCTTGATGCCATGATTTTATGCTGACATATTGGCTTCAATACTTTCTCATTCACTGATCCAAAATACTTATGCAGATCAGTAATATAAGAGTAATATTAAAAATCTTGATGGCTTAGTTGATCCAGGTCAGTGACACAAAGTATTGAAGCAAGAGGTCAGCAACTAGCAGTATAAGAAGAAGTCAGCAATGGCAGCCTCCCTGTATCTGTCATGACAGGATTAGTGAGATGAGGCAAATTCAGTTCACTATTACCTTACAGCTTGTAACTGCTCCATGTCATCCTAACCAGCAACAATATACCTCCCAACCTCCAGAGATGGGAAGGAGGCACAAATTTTAGTGCATAATTTTTAGGCAATGGACACCAACCTATCATGGGGACCGTGACAAATTAAAGAAAAAGCATAATCACATAAACCCACTAGGGCTTTCTTCACCAATACATTTACTTTAAAATAGCAAAATCAACCAATACAATAATGTAAAAAAAAGATGGAAAGTGTAAAATACTATAAACAACTGTGGCAGTTAAAGGGTTAATAAACCTTTGCGTGTTTTTGCATATATCTACTGCTAGCAAGCAGTAGATATATGCAAAAACATTTTTTTTTTAAAACAAAAACCTTTTAAAAAGGCTTTAAACTTACCTGTGTCTTCGCCGTCTGAACATCTGAAGAGTCTCGGGTGGCCGCAAAGGATCTTGGGGGGGCCTGCGCACTTCAGATGTTCGGCCGGGAGATGAGGAGAGACACAAGGTAAGTCTATAGAACAGCGTGCACACGCACAGCAGAGAAGGGGAGGACAGAGGAGTAATTGCTGGATCGGAGACCCACACCAGCGCTGTAGGCACAGCTGAAAAGGGCAGTAAAGAAGAAGATGATCGGATTAAGAGACATAATTTCAGGTAAGTCCCTACAGCAGGATTGGGAAGGGGGGAAAAAAAAGTTTGACTTTAATGTCACTTTAAATAGCACATTTATTTAATCAGATTTCTACACAGACATTAAAGAGGAAAATTTGAGGAGGAATAAGAGAAAGAGAGAGTTGGTTCCAAACAAGGGAGAGTCGCTCCAAATACAGTAAAGGACAGTTTGAAGCTTTACTCTAGCACAGTCATGTCAAACTCAGTGGGCTGAATCTGGGGAAACTACATTTTGAAGAGGCCTGTATTATGTTTGCTGTGGACCTCATTATGTCTGCTGAGGTCTGCATCTACTTAATTCCAGAAAAATTGCACTTTAGAAATTGAAGTGTATGCCAAAAACTTTTTTTAATCTAGTTTAGGATAGAGCACAGATTACAGTGCCTGTTGTGTTTTTACTGTTATCCGGAGCTCTGTTACAGAGATTTAACCTGACTTCCTGTCCTGCTGGCAACAGTTTTACCACACAGGAAGTGAGGAAAAATCTGCAAGGACATAAAACAAAAATCTGACAGGGGTACAGCCTTCCTTTGATCAATTTAAGAAAATCTTTAAAACTCTTTAGAGAGTTGGAGAGATTTACTCACTTCCTGTCCTGCTGACATGAAAACGGCAAGCAGACACTTCTGCCGTTATGTGATAAAGGTGGAATATGACCTCATTTACTTGATGTTTTTTAGTCACTGAAGAAAAGAGAAGCTGCATGATTTTCTTCGATTGTTGTTCGGACACAAGTCATAAATCATTTGGCGCAGTTTCCCCTAGATTACACTTTTTTGTTTTTTAATCTTTTTCTGACAAGATAAATTTGTTGCACCATAAGCGTACGCAGCCATCATATAAAAAAGCCACAAACGCAGGGCACATTTTACAACCTTAATGATTACATTTATCTAATGGTGACAATTCTCAGCTGAGCAAAGAGCTGCCTGTAAAACTCTTCATTTGATGAGCAGACTGTGAAGTAAATACATGGCATAGTCAAAGCGATACTTTCTCTTATTTTTCTTTTATTTAACATAAATAATGATTTACTATGAAGAAAAGCTATAAGGAATGTTTTCATACTTCCTACTTAAATACACCCTGTTAAACTGAAATATAACAGACCTCATATACAACATATGCAGTATATTATAGTGAATGTAAAGGGAAATTCCCTGACTGTCTGGCATTCTTTTGATTGGCACCCCTCTGCAGTGTTAACAAGTTTTCTAAAGTTTGGTGGTTCAGGACAAAGTCCAGGTACGTATGTTTAATGACTGAAGAATGGTACAAAGATTATCTGCTAAAATATTGGTGCAAATGCTGTAAATGTTCCACAGCTTAACTATCCAATTCCTTGTGAAGTAGACATTAATCTTTAATACTTGCATGACCTGATAATCTCCTAACTATCACAAGCAATGCTTAAAGCATATATAAACTCAACAAGAAAATTGTTATATATTTCAGCTTAGCAGTCCTTAGTTGTGCATTTGTAGTGCTTGCATTTGTTTGCTTTTTTGGGGGTATTTTTCCTCTATTTTTACCTGGGGATCCTGGAAGTAGCACAGACACTTCCTGTCTAGGGTGACAACGCGCATTCACCATAGTGTATCTGTATAGAATCAGCTTTGAAAAGAGGTGTAAGGAGTACCGAATGCCCCCATCCTCTTCTTTATAACATTGAGGGGAGGGATTGCCAGTGATAGCTATGACTAAGCGCAGCAAGTTACTTGGCAAGATTTGTTTTAGAATTAACAGTTACTTTTCCAGCTGTCAAACAGATATAGCAAAACACGTTCAATTGTATAATTTAAACAGACCATTATTAGGGTTCACATAAACATTAAAGTCTAAATCCAGCCTAAACCTTTTTTTTTTTTAGTTTTGGATAAAGTGGGAGGATTAGAACCCCATATCGGGTTGCATGACTATCTGGCCGTCCATGATTTCTTAGAAGTAGAAAGTTAACCCCCCTTGAAAAATAGTGTTGTGTAATGCTGAGGATGTGCTTTTATCCCCACAGAATTATAAAGAGCTGGAGCTGCTGCGGTTGGTGTATTACGGAGGAGTGGAACATGATATCCGCAAAGAAGTTTGGCCGTTCTTGCTTGGACATTACAAGTTTGGGATGACTAAAAAAGAAATGGATCGAGTAAGTTAAAGGTCTCAGTTTTATGTCTGTCCTTATTTCTGAATTGTCTGAGAAGCTTGATGTACCCCACTTCAACCAAACAACTTCAAATTGTAATTCTGCTACTGCATTTTCCAGCACAGGTTTCAATTGTGGTATACAAGGTGACCCAGACATTGCATTTATAATTCTAAAATAAAGCATGTAAGCATCAAATATGTTCCTTCTGGACCATTTTTAATGTTGCATGTTTCTACATTTTTATTGTATAAAATGAATACTATCAGAATATATTTTTTTACATATACTGTACAATTTTTTTATCCTGTCAACTGTTAACCTCTTCATGAATAATACATAATAGTATTTTTGCCCTTCACCCTAGGTGGATGAAGCCATTGCCTCCAGGTATCAAAAGGTGATGGTAGAGTGGAAAGCCTGTGAAATCATCGTCAAGCAGAGGGAAAAGGAATCACATTCGGCTATTTATGCCAAGCTCTCATCGGGCAGCAGCATCGATAGCCATGTCCAACGCCTGATACATCGGGACTCCACTATTAGTAATGATGTAGGACATTTTATACATGTCTCTGTATAATAATAATATGTGTATGGCGCTTACAGTACTCTTTAAGTTATATCTTTATAAAAATCAGAGTCTGACATCGGTTTATACAGACAGAATGCCTTAACTCAGGATGCCCAGATAATTCAGCCGTGGTTGCACAGTACTTAAACACAGCCTCATGTCTTCTATAAAACTCATTAAGGGGGCGGGTTGGTAAGCACCTTAAATGCTTCCTTTAACATGCTCCCTAAAAGAGCTACCTGTTGTCAACAACTGGGTATACCTGTCAGTCTGTCCATCAATCTGTAAATCTTTGACTCATTCATCTCTCATTGTCAGCCCAATAATGTATTTAATTAGCCATATATGCAAAGATCAGGTCACCTGACCAGTCAGCCTCAATGTCAGACAGTTCAGTATTTCAGGGCCCATTTACACCTGTGCGTTTCACATTTCTGCAACGCACAACAAGGTGTCAGACAACACCAAGTTTAATTTAATGTTGGGGAGTGCAATCACATTTTACTAATCAGTCTGTAAGTCTGTCAAGCACTATAGTTGGCATCATGGGGTGTTCTACTGTTGTTTACAAAGAAAGTTGATGAGGAGAAGGCTCCCAATCTCCCAGGGGGTTTCTCCTTTTTCAAAAAGGACACTCCTAAATGTAGTTAATGGCTGCCATCAGCAGAAGAGTATGGGCTTGATCACCCTGTAGGCAGAGACTTGTTTTCTATGCACCTGAGCAATGCAGGTCTATGCAAGTGAACCCACAATGGAGTGGAGAGGTGTGGAGAGGAGCATGTCTGGACTTTTCCTCACAGCAAGTATCCATCGCACTTATATGCACCGCAGCTCCACTTTGTGACATTTCAATAAAGAAAAAGGAAAGTGTAAGGCATAGCCTTAGCTCCATTCTAGGGATGCACCAATATCATTTTATCTACATGGAGTACGGGTACTGATATTTTTTTCGGTACTCGGTAATACCGAATACTGATGCCGTGTGCCCCGATTATCAGGAAGCTGAGCAGCGGATCATGGTGGGTTTTCTGATTGCCCGGGAAGCCTGTGTGCTATCGAAAGAACACCGGCTTCACTTCGTGAGGCTGCCCGGCTTTCTGACCAATCAGGAAGCCGGCCGGCGGTTCATGAGATGCTGCCTGGCTTCCTGATTGGTCAGAAAGCTAGGCTGCCTAGCAAAAAGTGAAGCCGGCTTCCTAGCCAATCAGGAAGCCGAGCGGCACGTCATGCCCCACCTCTCGGCTTCCTGATTGGTTAGGAAGCCAGTTTCACTTGTTGCTAGATAGCCTGGCTTCCTAACCAATCAAGAAGCCGAGAGATGGGTCATGACGTGCTGCCGGCTTCCTGATTGGGAAGGAAGCCGGCTCTATTCTCCCCTTCAGCAGTTCCAGCAACGGAGGTAAGAATCGGAGCATTTGGCCAAGTACGAGTACTCACCCAAATACTAGTATCGGTGCATCCCTACTTCATTCTGTATCTGTTAGAATCCAAAATATGCACGTTTTCCAGGGAATGCAGTCGGATTGTTGGAATGTATTTATTTGACAGAAAGATGGCACCAGTCCAGGTTGGTCTGTTCTGGCATCAGAAATATTTTGATAAACGGGACGCATCTATCATGTGTTTAGGGATAGGGATCTACAGATATCTCGGGCACCCTGCTCGCGCCCTCGACCGCTGGAGCTACACCACTCCCACGGGCCCTAACGTCTCTCTCGCACGCAGCGTCCATCACCTGGCAACCGCCTACAACAATTTCCTCCTCTCATTGTGCCGGCCCGCCTCCACCCACTCTCTCCCCCAGACACACCGCTCGTTGTCTCGGGCTAACCACTCGTGCCCTCGAGCGTTGCAGTCAGACCACTTTCACCGGTGTATCACTGCCGGACACCTCGGGCCTCATCCCAGATTCCCCTCCTACTCACACCCGATCTATTCAGCATCCACAAGCAGCCATACACTGCACACCATCTGGAGCACACCCCTCTCAGTCCTGACAGCATCCACCAGCCCATCTCCATCCGTGCCTGCCAATATTAGCATTTCCCACTTATTCAGTATTTGGACCCATACTCTCACTGCCATCAAGCCCCCCACAGCCCCATTGCAGTGACAAACCCAAAACCTCCCCCACACCGGTCCACACACAGAACTGATTGCTCATCACCCCCACCATTGGAGGTCTCCCATCCATCCACCCCTCATCGATGATATCGCATCAGCATTCACCCCTTGGTAAGTTTTCATTGTTGTTATAATTAGCCACCATATGGTAGTAGCGCTTCTGTCCCCATTTTTTGTTATCTACAGATGCGCCCGCTGTCACCTTGTCATTATCTTGAACGGGTACAGCGGCTGCATCTAAATGGGACATCTTGGATTCCTGCTGCAGGAATCCTAAATTGTCCAGTGTAAATGAGGCCTAACTGTTTATGAATTGGTGCCATCTTTCTGTCAAATAAATACATTCCAACAATCTCACTACATTTCTCTGGGTACGTGCATATTTTGGATTCGGACAGATACAGAATAAAGCTCATCTCTGCAATACAGTTATATCTATATCATTGCTCACCAACATATTAGTGTTGCCAGGTGAATAACCCATTTATAGCATTTCACTATCAATAAAGGTTATTATTTGAACTCCAGTTTTCTTCACTGTAAATGTGGAGTACAAATCCAGGGAAAAGACAATATTTGTTATACAGTTATATCTTATTCTGACATATGATGACCTTTTAGCATTTGCTGCTTTATAACGTTGACATCTATTAAACAGTATATCTCCTTCTTTGACATTTAATCTGAGGATTATTGCATAGTTTAGCAGAATAACATTAAGTCTCTAGAGTAATTTATGATCTTTTCTGCTATATACACAGAAAGGCCATTCATTTGGTTTTTTTATTGCTATCCCTCTCCAAGATCCTTAGCACTGAGTTGGCAAAATATACAGATCACTCTTATAATATTCGGGAGCTGGATACACAGATTGTTTCCCAAAACTAAGCTAATAAATACATTTGTGCACAATCTACAATTAATGATTAGGTGAAATGACACTGATCTTTGTCTGCAGTTGTATTCAGATGTATGTCTATTGCACTTGTACTGCATTTGAAATATCAGAGGACCTCTCAGTAATGGACTAATGAGATAATATAGGAGCAGATGTATAAAGTGATAATATTCCACTGGTAGGTAGGAACACTTGCTCCTTTCTTTGGCCAAAACAAATGCCATGGTTGTACAAGCTTGTGTACCTACTGCAACATTACACCTGGGGTAATGCTTTAGAAAAGCTTGACCTCTGCCAGTAGCTGCAGAGTGGGATCACTGTGTGGAAGCAATGGTCGTTCTCATTGCAGAGGTCTGATATGTCCCTACTAAGTCAGACCTATAGCTCTGCAATCAGCAAAGCACATGCTCCCTGATGATTGGAGAGCTTTGGCTCTGACTCAGCAGGGGGGCAAGTCAGACCTCTGCAATGGGACCACTGCTTCCACACAGAGAGCAAGCGTCCTTCTCTGCAGCCCACTGGCAGGGGACAGGCTTTTCCACTTTGATGCACCTGGAAGGTATTTAGCTAATTTTAACTGAAAGTTCAGTTGGGCCTTAACCATGAAAATAAATTGCTATTGAGACAAGCCTAAATCTAAGTATACAAGTGGGTATATGCAAGGTACGCCAAATGTTATCATACTCTTAAGCGCTAATTTTCTTCCCCAGTAGCACTGACTTATTTTAGCTGTCTCAGCAGAGAACAATAGTAAATAATTGGATCTGGCATTACTTAGTAAGAAGACACACTAACCTGGGCTGCAGCTACCACAATGGCACTTGTGGACCAGTCCCTAGTGCAGCAGTAATAAGGACAGCACCAAGCCTCGCAAATTACAAACTATAATCATTTTTCCTTCTTTTGACTACCTCTCGACATTTGTGGATAAATACACCAATGGACCTATAGGAAGAAATGTATGCCAGGGATGTTCAGAGATGTCAGAAGTCTATTGGTTATGATACATGAAACTCTCCCGTTTCTTGTTTGTTCGTCTGCACAGTTCAAATGTACATGTGAATGTAAAGCAGATAGCATGTGTCTTCCAATAACACATTCTAACTTTATTTTCTCCTAAACAAATGCATGATACAAGAGATAGCGTACTTAGAGCAAATACATTCAGGTGTACCTAGAGCAGCATAATGTCTAAATATATCCCTGAGTGTATTCCAGACCACTGCTTATACAGTACCTAACAATATATATGTGTGGCAGGTCTTCATGTCTACAGAAGAAATAGATTTGACGGACCGAGACTTGAAAGCTCACAATGATAAAACCACCATCCTGACCAACACTGCTGGTACCCCATCTGCGGTGGCAGTTGAACCACAGCAGTCTGTGGAGTTTGACTCGCCAGATTCAGGTCTTCCCTCTTCCCGTAACTACTCTGTAACCTCGGGGATCCTATCAAGCATTGATGATGGACAGAGCATATGTTTTGAAGAAGAAGAATCAAGCACAGAATCTGACAGGACTGAAATGAGTATGGGCCCACCCAAGAAAACAAAGGGAGTACTCAAAATGCAGAACTCTATATGTGAAGAGCTACTGTGTTCTCAGCTAGAATACTTAAGTAATTCTGAAGACATCTCTTCCATGTGTCCTACATCATACACAGTAAGTTGGATAGCTTCTTAATTTTTAATGCAGGAGCAAAGACAAGTATAGTAACCTTGTTTTTGTTGTTTTCTATTTGCTGTAACTATTATAGGATTATAGAGGGTAATAAAACAATAATGCTGGAAAATGTACATTGTAACAAAATTACATGCATCACCCCTGTTGAATTAAATGAGTTCACTAGGACCCTACCTTCTGAACCCAATTCCAAAATAGATTTATCTTGCCTCCAGCTAAGTTTTCTCTTCAAACAGTTACCAAACAGTTAACGATTGCCCTGTGGCAAGTGTGCTTTTGGCACCTTTTTTTTTGCTTGAATGTTTCAGGTATCCCCTAAAAGAGTAGCACATCTATCAATGTCACCATGGAAAAAGGAGTTAACCAAATACGTTCACCAGTTTTAATAGGCAATATAGTAGGCACAGAAATGTATTTAATCACTGCTTACTGTTGTAAAAAAATGCAGTGCTTACTGCGTTTGATATGTGGATAACAATATTAACCCAGCCATAGACTTGTTTGTAGTGCCTACTGCTTTAGATATGCCGATAACAGCAATAACCCAGCCATAGACTTGCTAAATCCAAACAATGATCCTACATACATAATTTAAGCAATAGTTTACATAAAAGGGGTATTATGGACCATATAACACACCCCTCGGCCTCATGTTCAAACAAGTTAAGTGAGCAGAGTTTTACAAGGTTATCAGGCATAATGGTTGATGTTGGCACAGTTGGATACAAGAAGTAATACAGTCATTGTTAACCCCTTCGTGACTGACGACGTACAGTGTACGTCGCCAGCATCGGGGCTGTTTAAACAGACTCCCGGCGACTATAGTATTAAATGGTAACAAGCAAATTGTGCTTTATTATAAAGATTCATGTTTTTATTTATCAGATTGAACTCTTGGATACCATTGCCTTAAACTTGCATCGTATTGATAAAGATGTCCAGAGGTGTGATCGAAACTACTGGTATTTCACACCAGATAACTTGGAAAAGCTCCGAAACATCATGTGCAGGTATATCAATGCTTGTGTCCTATGTGTAAAAATTGTATTTCTGCATTTATGGCGCAAATTGTTGCAGATCAGTGGGTATTTTATTCTGTATAGTATCTTTACTCCACCATTAAGGGAGGAAAGTGCCAACTCTATTTGCATATTGACCTTATCCTATCAACAAGCAGGCCTTTATTTTTGAACAGGTCACATTGATCTCGACCTAAGACAGTAGATTGTCATGGAGAGCAAGAGAAGAGCCAGCCTTTTTTGTGATCATTTTTGCACATTGTTGTAGGTATTCAGTCATGAAACATAAAATGCAATACCTACTGATTTATTTGGTACAAAATGCTAGCATCTACGTTGCCCCAAAGACACTTGGATTCTTAACATTTGCTGAGAAATCCCCAGTATCCTGTCATGAAAAGTTTATTGAGCCAAAGGACTTAATATGCTAGACTGCAAAAGTTTGCTTTGTGCTCTCTATAGCTAAACATGGGTTGCATATTATTCAATCATTCAGCAATAATTCTGGAACTCTTGCTCTCTTGGATGGCTTCCCCAAGTATCTCCTCCTGTCCGGCATTTACACCCTGACAACACAGGTCCTTTTAACAATCTAGGAATTTGCAGGTTTCAACAAATTTCTAAACAGATATTTACATAAAAAAACAAATAGCTAGGAGGTAGAAGAGGGCAATTTGCTCAGTACAGAGGTACAAAGAAAAAAAAGAAAATAGATCAAGGGGTTTTATAAATTGACAGTGCACTCAAAATTGATATTTCATTTGAGTGGGACATGATGGGATGAGTCATCTGCTGGTGTCTTATATCTCTCTGGCAAAAAGAAAGACGTCACTAGCACTCCAACAACGATAATAACAGCAATTAAATGCTAATTTATTGACAGATGCTGTCTCTCATTGGCAAGCGCTTTCGGGGCCACACAGGGTCCCCTTCGTCAGGCTCTTTTTTTTTCTTAAATCTCTCTGGGACCCAGTCCATGAGAGCTCTCTCATAGTTCCTGGCTATGTTCCTGCCTGGGAACCCAAAAAAGGGTCTGTACAGCTCCTATTAACAACAACTAAAAAAAAAAACTTTTGGTGAACTGATTCTCACTTTTCTAAAACATAAATTGTGTTCTAAATATTGACTTTTTTGTGAAATAAATGTGAACTGAAAGAAATCAATAGTAGGGATACTGCACCTTTATTGAGTCGCATATACAACAATTATCGTATGTTAATGTTGTTGCTCTTGTAATTTCATGCAGCTATGTGTGGGAACATCTGGATGTGGGTTATGTACAAGGGATGTGTGACCTGCTGGCTCCACTCATGGTAATTCTGGATAATGGTAGGTCCATGTTTCCTAAAACTCTGCAGATATTAAACCAAGATGAAAGTCTCTGCTTCAGTACCTGTAGTATCAGGTTCATCTTTATTAGCAAAGATGATTAAATAACTGGCCAAAATGGTCCAAAGTGATGCAAACACAGTGATTGTGACACTAAGATCATACTCACCATACATATGATCAAAGCATTGCACAGTTGCGAGTCTCACCAGCAAGAAAGCAAACAGGGAAACAAAAACCAATAGATGTTTCACTTCCTGCTCTCCTGAAGAAAAACACTTTTATTGCTGCATATGTTCCTGTTGAAGTGATTCCCATAATTTCCTCTGTGGGTGACCTCATAGGAAGCAAAGGAAAATCTCCCCATAGCAGGTTCTGACCCTCCCTCACTTATTTCAAAGCTAAAAAATGTTTTGGCTAGAGTTCTACTTTTAGTATTGCTCAGTGGATGGGTGGAGGGCATTATTTTCAAAATGTACAATCCATATTTACCTGAAGTTTGCCTTTCCCAAAATATGTCCAGTCTTTGTCATTTCATAAATTAGAATCTAGAAATCACCTGCCTTACTGAAACCTAATTTAACAGGATGATTTGTTCACATTCTAGATATGCTGGCATACAGCTGCTTTACACAGCTTATGAAGAGAATGAGTCAGAACTTCCCGAATGGAGGGGCCATGGACACACACTTTGCCAACATGAGATCTTTGATCCAGGTGGGTGCTTCTCTGAGAACACAGAATATGTTTATATCATTGCTGTGGACAATAACAACAGATTGTGCAAGTCAAGTCAGAATTGATTTACACAGAGCCTTTCAAAAGAGACAGAACCCAGAAACCACTCATACCAGAATTATTTCCAACCTTGTTAGACTTACAAATATTTAAGTCTCTCTATGGTAAATTTTTTGTCAACCCTCTCTCCCTATATATGCATTTGCTGTGTGTGTGTGTGTAGGGGGGGGGGGGG